GGTGGGTGGAGCGCCAGAGAAAACACAATCCATCTCATTTGCCTTTCAGATCCAAAACATCCACACACAGACTGCTGCCGTGAGAAAAGTTTCTCCCTGGGTCGTGAAATCCACTCTGCTCAATTCAACAAAACCTGAATCCCAGATCCCCACAGTAACAACAAAATGGCATGGAGGGTCTTCAACACTCCAAGCAGCACGGCACCACGTGTGGCACAGTCCAATCACCTAAAAACTAAGAGCATGGCTACACCAGGCCCCAAGCTCCACCCTGCTGCCTCCAACAGTTAGGACTTGAGAGGCAGCTCAGCACCACGGAGGCAGCAGAGCCTCTGGGGCCAAAGCCAAGTAGGCTCACCTCCAGGTCCTGCCTCCTACCACACCCGCAGGTGACCTACAGCAAAGCTCTCCTCTGGCATAGTGGAGCCAGGGGGAAATACTTCCCACGTTCTTTACAGGATAAGCTAGGTAACGTTAGCAAAGGGCCTGCCCAGTGCCTGGCATGTGGTAAGCACTCAGCAAACGACTGTTACCAGGAAGCAGAGATGCTGACTCTCTCTATTTTTTTAGGCCAAAGACCACATCAGATGGTTTCTACATATCCTTTTACGCTAGGCACCTTGGGAGTACTCAAAAACTACTTGGTGGGCTTCCCCGGTGGCGCAGTGGTTGAGAGTCTGCCTGCCGATGCAGGGGACATGGGTTCGTGCCCCAGTCCGGGAGGATCCCACATGCCACGGAGCGGCTGGGCCCGTGAGCCATGGCCACTGAGCCTGTGCGTCCGGAGCCTGTGCTCCGCAGAGGGAGAGGCCACGACAGTGAGAGGCCCGCGTACCGCAGAAAACAAAAAAAAAACAAAAAAAACCTACTTGGTGACTTGAACCTTGTTTAGATGTTGTAATCACAACCCATTATTCCTTCCAAATGCAGTCTGGAAAAATCCCGGAGCCCAATTAACGTGAAGAGACGGGGGGCACGGGGCAAGAACCACTCAGAGCGATTTTCCCTGTCAGGGAAGCACTTTATATTGAACAACTGTTCCATAAACCCCAAGGGTGCTCCTGGCTGAAGGCTGGAGCGCCTGCCCAGAGCTCTAAGTGGGTCCACAGAGCAACGCTCCATCTCAGAGTCAAATGGGCACCTGTCAAACATGAAATATTGCCCAGGTTATTAGCAAGCACTGAACTGCGTGCATTTCCAAACTGCTGCACAGAGGGAAACCATCAGCCAGGAAACAACTGGCCTACCACCAGGAGATGCCCTCCAATCTTGATGAACAACAGTCCCCAGCTCCCAGAACATGCTGTGCCAGTTGCAGGCCTGGACAGGAGACAGCCATCCAAGGGCCTCGAGGCACCTGAGAGCGATGACAGGGATCAGCGTTCCTGATTTTCCAGAAATACTGGTGGCTCGTGTACACAACCTGGCATACACAAACTCAGGCCAAGGGAACGGAAGTTCCCAGCAGGCCAGCCCTGCAAACATGAAAGCTACCTGCTCAACTCCACCAACCCACCTGCTGTGACAACCCATCCCTTTTCAGCGCAACGTGGCAGAGAAACAAATACCAACAAAACCAACCGTACTGGAACTTTCCTCCTTGCCCAGCAAACACAGCTCTTATATTAAGCCTGTGTTTCTCAAACTTTTAAAAGTCCATTTCCACTTTGTAAAAACACACAAACCTGACTCAGCCCTTCCCAACAGCCCCAAACGTTTCATCTTCTCCTGAATAGTGGCCCCCACCCTGGAAAAGCACTGTTTCCTTCTACAGAATGCTCCCTGCCAAGATTCAGTACTGTTTGCTTTGAAGTTTGTGTTATAAAAAACACTGACTTTTTTCTAAATCTAAAAATAATGTCTGAATATAAAATTAAACTGTGCTACTGACTTTGCTTTTCAAACTATACAACTTGTACTATCTCTAAATTTAACCACACTTCTGAAGAGGGAGTGGACATCCCTTTCCCTGACCCCCGATGGACCCCACTGCTCTAGGAACGTGGCTGAGCGGGAAGGCTGGCTGGCCCTGAAGAAAGTGTGTCCTGTATCCGAGCACCTGTGCCAGTTTAGAACCCATCCTGCTAGTACTTGCTCTGGGGACTCTTGAAGCTCGACACAGGATAAATCAAGGGACTTGCTACCAAAAAGACAAAATCAGAATATGTGGGACTGGCATGGGGTCTGATCATTCTCCCAACGTCTCCCCTGCTCCCCTCTGCCCAGTACTCCCTGAGTGGTGGTGGCACATGGACACAGCCTGAAATTATACTGGTAGGTGGACTCCCCTACCAAGTTTAATAAACTCATTGCTGGGTAGGCCGACCTCTTGTTTCTTCCTTCCAGCTGTTTATAGCACCTACCCTAGGACTTTGCCCTCAAATCAAGTTGGGGTACAGGCCTGGTATAGAACGAATTCCTGGCCTTGTTGAATATGACCAACTCAAGGTCAAAACATTCTGTGGACCCTCATGAAATGATCATTGTACTTCTGGTCCTTGTTAACTGAAAAAATATAGACAAAAACCACTATGAAAAATGAATTTCCCATCTATTAATCACAATAGCATTAATATGTATTTGAGAAACAGTTCTATGTAAGTGAATGATAAATCTCCCCTAATATACAGAAGACCTGTGGTGTGATACAGCTGCACAACTACTCATACTTACTGCATTCCCCCTAGGGGTCCTCAGTCCATAAATTAAGAAACAGATATAAACAAAGACCAAAGAATTTCTCAAACATTTAATGAGTGCCTACTCTGTGCTGACCTTAGGGACAGTATTCTCACTTTGAGCCTAGCGGGGAAGACAGGTAATAAATCAATATAATACATAATGTCACATACTAAGTGCTGTGAAGAAAACCAAAGCAAGCCGAGGCAGAGGCTATTAACTATCTAAGAGAAGGGTCAAGGAGGACCTCTCTTGAGGAGGTGACATTTAAGCAAAGACCAGAATGAAGAGTGAGCCATGCTACCATAAGCCCAGGGACCGTTACAGTAGGTACAAGGTAGAGCAAATGCAAAGGTCCTGAGACGGGTGTGACCTTGGCAAAAGGCGCCGGAGTGCCTGAAAAGGAGGAAGCGAGTGGGAGGATGAGAAGCGCTGAGGTTGGCAGCAGGAGAGGCTGACAGGCTCCGGACGCGCAGGCTCAGCGGCCATGGCTCACGGGCCCAGCCGCTCCGCGGCATGTGGGATCTTCCCAGACCAGGGCACGAACCCGCATCCTCTGCATCGGCAGGCAGACTCTCAACCACTGCGCCACCAGGGAAGGTTTTAGAGGCCAGTTAGGCTTTGGAGTTCTAAGTATGCTGGGGCGCCCTAGGAGGTTTGAGAGCAGAAGAGTGACTGCAAGGGGGCAAGCGTGGACATAGGAACACCAGGAAAGAAGCGAGAGAGGGAGGAGGCCTCCACCAAGGAGGAGGTGGAAGGAGGTAGTCAGATTAGGGATATGTTTTGGTGGAGCCACAACATAATGGCTGATCAAGCAGATGTGGGTTGTGAGAAAAGAAAGGAGTCAAGGATGACACCAAAATTTTTAGCCTGAGAAACCTGGCCAAGGTTTTAGCCTGGCCAAGTGGCAGTGCCACTTACTGAGCTGAGGAATGATTGTGGGAGCAAAGGTTTAGTGGGAGGAAAGCAAGAGTTCTGTTTTGGCCAATTACGGTTGAGATGTCAACAGCAGAGATGGTTGAACAGATCTCTTCACTTCATTCTAGTCTTTGCCACAAGATGGAATGGGACCACCCTGGGAGAGATTATTGTATAAAGAAGAGACAAGACGTATGGACTCAGACTCAAGGCACATGCATTTGAATCCTGGCTCCAATATTACCAAGGGGGGGCTCAAGCAAGCTTCCCTGAGTTCTAGATTGCTCACCCATTAAATTGGAGAACCACCATATACACAATGGCTTTGAGGATTAAAGAAGATAAATAACAGGGAGTATTGCACAAATCTTGGCAAAAGTAGAATTAGATATTTTTTCTCTAACAAAGTCTGTGACTGATACACAGTGAAACAAACAAGGAAAAAATGAATCAATTAAAACAAAACAAACCAGGTTATCCCAGTGAAGTCCCTTTACCAGTGAATCGCATGGCTCCTTTTGGAAAAGGCAGCTGGTCAAGGCCTCGGGAAGGC